CCAGAAGTTCGATGGCAAATCCTCCCTCTTCAAGTTGGCAATCCAACAACGAACCCGTCCTTGGAAGACCAGGAATTGGAAAGGGGAAATAACTAATTTTTTCCACTTTTACCCGATTTATTCCAACATCCAGCTGCCATACACGTGGGCATTGTCAGTTTAACTATAGCTCTGGTGAATTTCAATGGTGAATTCTTTTCAGTGATGGAGCCTCTCTCTGACGCAGGACCTGCAGCACAGCCTTATTTACAGCAGTTTGATCAGCTTCATGAATGCTGCTGATGCAGCATCCCCATTTAGATCAGGGGTGGGCAATTCCAGGTCCTAGGGGCCGGTATCCTGCAACTTTCAGATCAATCTGTGGTCCAAGGCACCTAAATGAAATGGTTGAGTTACCTCCTCAGCATGCAGTCAGTTCCTCCAAAGTCCTCTCAATTACCTAATTACTTGATTCAGGTGTGTCGCACCAAAGGCACATCTAGTAGTTGGTGGAATTGCCCACCCCTGATCTAGAGGGAATGGCAGGTGGGGGAGGCTAACGTAAAAAAGCAGCAACCACCAGAGATTAGGATGCTATAAACTTTTTGTTTTGATCAAATCCTCCTGACAGGCGCGAGGATCACAATCAGACACACTAACCTGGCAGTGTCTGACGAAGAGTGCGGCCACGATGAAGCTCAGCACCAGGGATCCCAGGATCATGGAGTTACAGAACTGCAGCAGCCAGACGCTCAGCAGGCCGCTCACCTGGACCAGGTACAGTGTGGTCACCTGAGGCGACACAGCAGAGAAAGTCATGGCATATTAGGATCAGATGGATTCACTTTGGCAGTTTATGTCACTTCCTAGACTAGGCCAATAATAATTTAGTGCTGGATGCATGTTTCAAACTGGTTTTAACCGGTATACTAAAGCCCCATAAGCTCTGAAGTTTGGAAACCTTATAGGAGATTTGGGCTTACTTTTGTCTTAGTTCAGACAGTCCAGCTGATTTTCATTCAAATATAAGAGTAGAACCCGCATTGACTGTTGCAGCGCAGAAATCACGGGCGCCATCCTTGGGAGGTCGACCCACTAACCCAGGGGTCAGAAACCTGCGGCTCTAGAGCCACATACGGCTCTTTGGACCCCCTACAGCGGCTCTTAATATTGGC